GCTGACAGGCGCCCGCCCGCCCACCCGCCCCTCGCAGCCTAGGCGAGGACTTCTACCGAGAAGCCATCGAGCACTGCCGCAGCTACAACGCGCGCCTGTGCGCCGAGCGCAGCCTGCGCCTGCCGTTCCTCGACTCGCAGACCGGCGTGGCCCAGAACAACTGCTACATCTGGATGGAGAAGACCCACCGCGGCCCGGGTACGGCTGGGAGGTTGGGGGTGGGGCGGGGCGGTGGCTTCGCGGCCGCGTTCTTACCGCCCTTCTCACTCCAGGTTTGGCCCCGGGACAGATTTACACGTACCCCGCCCGCTGTTGGAGAAAGAAACGGAGACTCAACATCCTGGAAGACCCCAGACTCCGGCCCTGCGAGTACAAGATTGGTGGGTGGAGCTCCGTCCTGTGCCTTCGGTGGCCCCAATGGGTGCCCACAGCACACGCTGATAAGTGTGTGGTGATGCCGGTGTGCGTCTGAGCATTCGCCTTTATTTCCCTCCTAGCCAGTGTCTGAGTGGCTGGCTGTGTCTGCCGTTGTGTGTCTGGGTGTCGTCCAGAGATTGTCCAGTTTTCCCTGAGTGACTGAGCTTTGGACTGTATCTCATCCTACTTGGGCCCAGGCGTATTTCAGGACAGGGTGGTGTCTGTTATGTGTGTCCAGGTGTATCCAGTCCTTGTATCTCTTCCCTTGTGAGCTGGGATGTATCAGAGTATCTGACCGTATTGCTTCCTGTGGATGTCTGAGTGTGTCTGGATGTATCAGAGTGTCAGGTTGTAACTTTTTCCCTTTGTAATAGAGTGTATCTCAGTGTCTGTGTCTTTTTTCAGGTGTTTCCAAGTGTATTAGAAGGTTTGTTTCCTCTTGTGTGTGGCTGGTCTATCAGAGCGTCCAGCGGTTCCTGATGTGGGTGTATCAGGGGGTCCGGCTCTCTCTTCCTTTGAGTGCCAGATGCTTTGGAATGTCTGGGAGAATCTCTTCCCTGAGTGTCTGTCTGGTGTATTAGATGTATTTCTGCACGTGTGTGCTGCCCCATGAGTGTCTGGTTTTATCACTTCTTGAATGTGTCCAGTACTATTAGAGTCACTGGCTGTTTCTCTTCCCCTGTCCAGGTATATCCAAGGATCTGTGTGGGTCCAGGTGTATTGGAGGGACTGTCTCTATCTCCTGTGTGTATGTGTATCCACCTGAGTGACTCTCTCTAGGTGTGTCTCTATCTCCCCTAAGTATGTTCAGGTGTTTGGTAGGGTCTGGCCGTGTCTTCCCCATGTGGTCTGGGTATATCTGGTGGTCTAATGTTCTCTTTTGTAGTGTTGCTGGGTGTGCCAGTATACCCAAGGGTCTGGATATGTCTCCTCCATGTGTCTGGGTATATCTGAGTGTCTGGGTGTATCTCTTCCTTTGTGTGTCTGGCTGTCTCAGATGACCTGTATGTATCTCCCCTGTGTATGTCCATGTGTGTCCTGTTTGAGTGTCTGCTCTCTCCAGGTGTGAGGGTCTGGGTGGGGTCTCCTACAGGTATGTATGTAGTTATATAGGAGGGTCTGGCCATGTCTCCCCTTGAGTGTGTCCAAGTGGCTCTGAGGGTCTGGCTGTGTCTTCCCCAGGATCTGGGCATCCTTGGAAAGGATGTATGGAAGTATTGTTGGAAGGGTGTATGGTTGAATCTTTGAGTCTATTGCTGGTTGAGTGTGGGAAAGCCTCTTCCCTCTAGCAAAGAGCATGATTCTCCAATCTGGGCAGTTTGAGGAGTCCTCCAGGGACAAGTTCTCCACTTGACACCCTCCCCCCTTGTCCCCAGACTGTGAGGCGCCATTGAAGAAGGAGGGTGGCCTCCCAGAAGGGCCGGTCCTTGAGGCTCTGCTTTGTGCTGAGACAGGGGAGAAGAAGATAGAGCTGAAGGAGGAGGAGACCATTATGGACTGTCAGGTAGGGTCCCCCCACCCCCCCGCCAGGGGCCACAACTGCCCTCTCACCCCTGTCTCCTGCCCCGGCCCATCCTGTTCCTGCTCTGAAATCTCCACCGGCTCCCTAGGGCCTTTGGGCATCCTAAGTCTCTATTCTTGCACACGTCATCTCTTTTTTGGAAGGCCTCCTGACTTGCCCTAACACCCCCAGTCTCCGGTCCGCCCAGGGCCACCCCACCCACAAAGCAGAACAATACCCCATTTTCTTAACCCCAATCTCCCTTCTCCTGGTGCCCAGAAACAGCAGCTGCTGGAGTTTCCACATGATCTTGAAGTGGAAGACTTGGAGGATGACATTCCCAGGAGGAAGAACAGGGCCAAAGGAAAGGTATCGCTCCAGAGTTTCTCTCCATCACGCCTCCGCTCAATGCAGATCCCATTTACTGAGTATGTACAATGTTCAGACCCTGCCCCAGTTTGACCTCATTTAATCCCCAGAGCAGCCTGAAGGGATAGGGGATTTTTATACCCATTTTACAGATGAGGAAATTGAGGCTTGGGTCTATTAAACCATTTGCAAAACAGAGATTGTGCAGTGGGTTAGAACTAGCTTCATACCTGTGTCACGGATGAGGAAACTGAACCTTGGAGAGATCAAGGGAGTTACTCAAGGCCCACAGCTAGGAAGTGGCAGAGCTGTGATTTGACTTTCAGGCCCAAATGATGAAAATTCTTTTAGTTCCCTCCCTTTCTTGGCCCCTCACTCATGACTTTTCCCCTAGGCATATGGCATCGGGGGTCTCCGGAAACGCCAGGACACCGCTTCCCTGGAGGACCGAGACAAGCCGTATGTCTGTGATAGTGAGTCTTTCTGAAGAGGGGGGAAGAGAGAGAGAGTGGGGCCCAGAGGCCTCTCCCCTCCTGGCCCCCTCCCTTCTGTTCTGGACCCTGGTTGGGGGATGTTCAGGCCTCTGGCAGAGGGTGGAGGTGTGATCCTGGAGGCCAGGGCAGAGGCGGGCTGGGGGGGCTGACCGGCCCTTCCTGCTCACTCTCCAGTCTGTGGGAAACGGTATAAGAACCGGCCAGGGCTCAGCTACCACTACACCCACACCCACCTGGCTGAGGAGGAGGGGGAGGAGAATGCTGAACGCCACGCCCTGCCCTTCCACCGGAAAAACAACCATAAACGTGAGCAGGCGGGCAGGGCGTGGGGTGGTGAGGGGCCCTGGGAGTGGGGGCTAAGGAGCCTGGGAGGGAGGGGGCACATTAGACATTTCTGGAAAATCTCCAGCTCAGCGGTCCCCTCCCCCCACCAACCGTGGGGGATGCTGGCTCTGAGGTTGCCATGGCAACCAACCATCTCTCCCTCGCTCCTGGCCGGGCGTAATATTTCTGGGTCTGATTTATTGTTTCAATTAGAGCTTGGGGAGGGGGGGTGATAGATGACTCCCTTCCCTCCCTGCCTCCCTTTCTCCCTTCTCTGCTAAGCTTTGGCCGAGGGGCAGGGTCCATGGCCTGGGAACCCTTGGCGACCGCCCATGCCAATCCGGTGCCAACCCTGACAGCTGAGGGATGGGGGAAGGCTTGGGGGGAGGCTCTGCCAGTGGAAAAACCATCTTTCCACCCACCCCTCGGTGGGAGAGGGCAGTCTCTTCATCCCATCCCCACCACACACCGAGGCACCTCTGTGTTCAGAATTTTCCTTCCGAATGTCTGTTTCCATACCGGATCTCAGCCAGTGGTGTCCACCTAATTGTTATTTAGTCGGGGCTTAGTTGAGGGGGGGGTGCTGTCTGGTAGAAGTGTGTATGGGTGGGGAAGCAGGGGGCTCTTCCTAAAGCTGCATCTGCCAAGTTTTTACCTAATAAAGAGGATGTATCAGTTGTCCTCAAAGAGTTGGGGGGGTCCTGATGAGAATTATTTGGGCTCCCCCAACTCTCTCTTGCTACTGGCCACAGCTTGGGGTAGCTGCTCCCTCCCCCCACCTCCTCCGTGCCTGGAGAAGGGGTCCACCCCTGGGGCTGAGGCTGGGGACAGGGTGGAGCTTTGCCTATGGTGAGAGCCCCTCTTTCTGTCCCCCCATCCCCAGAGTTTTACAAAGAATTGGCCTGGGTCCCTGAGGCACAGAGGAAACACACAGGTAGGGACGCCTCCCTCTGCCCCTACTTCTGCAGCAGCCTTTGACTGAGTGTCCCTGCCTGCCCATGCCAACCCTTGCCTGCTCTCTTTCAGCCAAGAAGGCGCCTGATGGCACTGTCATCCCCAATGGCTACTGTGACTTCTGCCTGGGTGGCTCCAAGAAGACGGGGTGTCCCGAGGACCTCATCTCCTGTGCCGACTGTGGGCGATCAGGTGATGCCCCCACCTGAGGTTTCTGGGGGCCACGGTGGAGAGGACTCCAGGAGTCCAGATCTGGAGGAGAGAAGGCAGAGGAGTGAGAGGACTGGTGGGGGGGATACAGAGCATCCCAGGGGCACTGAGGATAAACAGCCGACTCAACTGCTGAGGATTGTGGGAAACTGAGTGGGGTCTGGGAGGCTCTGGGAACAATGGGATGTAGTAGTCATGGCATTGTGGGTACTGGCATGTGCTTATCTGGCGTGGGGAGCAGTGAAAGATGGTTGCCAAAACATCGTGGGTACTGGGCTGTGATAGCGAGTAATGGATTGCCACTGCCTGGGTGCTGTGGATCACAGAGGGTGCTTGCCATTGCTATGGAGTGGTTAATAGACTGTGGTTTCCCAAGGTAGACTTGTGGGTAATAGACGGTGGTTGCCTCAGCACGGTGGCTAATGAATTGTGGTTGTCATGGTATTATGGGTAGTGAAATATGGTTGTCATGGCGATTGGGTGTAGTGGAAGGTGGTTGTTGTGGCCTGGGGTAGTGGCTGCGCATCTGTGCTGGGGTGGTGGGTTGACCAGTGGGTTAGCACCCTGCACAGTCATGTTGGTAACAGTGTGGTTGCTGGGGCATCGTGTGTAATGGGCTTGGGTTGCAGGGAACCAGGGTGTGGGGACCCCTCTCTGGAAGGTGGTTGCCATGGCATCGTGGCTGGGAGACTGTGGTTGCCACGTACTGTGGTTAATGGAATGGAACCGGTTGGCCATTCTGCTGTGGGTAATGGAATGTGGCTGCCTCAGCACGGTGGTTAACAGAATGTGGCTGCCCCGGTGCTGTGGGTGGTAGAAAGTGGTTGCCACAGCACCGAGGGTAATGGAATGCGGTTGCCATGGTGTCCTGGGGAGCAGAGTGTGGTTGCCATGGTGGCTGGGTAGGAGACTGGTGGCCAGGGCAGCATTGCCTGCGGGACAGGGCCTGGGCACCGTGGGCTGGGTGGGGTCGGGCTGTGGGCCTTGTGAGCTAGGGATGGGGGCTGAGCCGTTGCTTCCCCAGGGGTCAGCAGCCACCAGGGGCACGATGACCCCTAACCGCATCCCTGCCCCTTGGCCCCCAGGACACCCCTCGTGTTTACAGTTCACGGTGAACATGACGGCAGCTGTGCGGACCTACCGCTGGCAGTGCATCGAGTGCAAGTCCTGCAGCCTGTGTGGCACCTCGGAGAACGACGTGAGTGCCCACGCGCCCCCTTCCCCGGGACGTGCCCCCAGGTGGCCTCCTTTCCCTGGAGCCCCCTCCCTGGTGAACACCAGTAACCTGTATTATGATTATTGTTAGTGTCCGTTAATTGAGCCTGCACTTAATACTCTTCACTCTCTGACTCCTTCCAACTGCCCTGAGGTAGGTGATCTCGTTCCCACTTCACAGAGAAGAAACCGAGCTCAGAGAGGGGACTAGACTTGCCCAAGGTAACCCAGCCAGGAAAATGGTACGGCTGGGACCTGAACCCACGTCCATGGCTTCCAGACCATCTCCGTGTCATTTTAAGTGTTCCACAGAGTCCTATAAAACCTAAACTACAAACTGCAAACTGACAGTCCTCAGGGGTGTTACGCTCGTCGCCCAGCAGGGTTTTGCAAAGATGACCTTCTCAGAGCCCTTTGTCTTGCAAGGGCCCGCCCCCCCCCAGCCCCTTTGACCTGGCCTGTCCTGCCTTTCTGGATTTTACACTTTTTTCAGATGGCCTTTTTGACCGGGGAGGAAGTGAGTGGCTCCAAGAAGACGGGGTGTCCCGAGGACCTCATCTCCTGTGCCGACTGTGGGCGATCAGGTGATGCCCCCACCTGAGGTTTCTGGGGGCCACGGTGGAGAGGACTCCAGGAGTCCAGATCTGGAGGAGAGAAGGCAGAGGAGTGAGAGGACTGGTGGGGGGGATACAGAGCATCCCAGGGGCACTGAGGATAAACAGCCGACTCAACTGCTGAGGATTGTGGGAAACTGAGTGGGGTCTGGGAGGCTCTGGGAACAATGGGATGTAGTAGTCATGGCATTGTGGGTACTGGCATGTGCTTATCTGGCGTGGGGAGCAGTGAAAGATGGTTGCCAAAACATCGTGGGTACTGGGCTGTGATAGCGAGTAATGGATTGCCACTGCCTGGGTGCTGTGGATCACAGAGGGTGCTTGCCATTGCTATGGAGTGGTTAATAGACTGTGGTTTCCCAAGGTAGACTTGTGGGTAATAGACGGTGGTTGCCTCAGCACGGTGGCTAATGAATTGTGGTTGTCATGGTATTATGGGTAGTGAAATATGGTTGTCATGGCGATTGGGTGTAGTGGAAGGTGGTTGTTGTGGCCTGGGGTAGTGGCTGCGCATCTGTGCTGGGGTGGTGGGTTGACCAGTGGGTTAGCACCCTGCACAGTCATGTTGGTAACAGTGTGGTTGCTGGGGCATCGTGTGTAATGGGCTTGGGTTGCAGGGAACCAGGGTGTGGGGACCCCTCTCTGGAAGGTGGTTGCCATGGCATCGTGGCTGGGAGACTGTGGTTGCCACGTACTGTGGTTAATGGAATGGAACCGGTTGGCCATTCTGCTGTGGGTAATGGAATGTGGCTGCCTCAGCACGGTGGTTAACAGAATGTGGCTGCCCCGGTGCTGTGGGTGGTAGAAAGTGGTTGCCACAGCACCGAGGGTAATGGAATGCGGTTGCCATGGTGTCCTGGGGAGCAGAGTGTGGTTGCCATGGTGGCTGGGTAGGAGACTGGTGGCCAGGGCAGCATTGCCTGCGGGACAGGGCCTGGGCACCGTGGGCTGGGTGGGGTCGGGCTGTGGGCCTTGTGAGCTAGGGATGGGGGCTGAGCCGTTGCTTCCCCAGGGGTCAGCAGCCACCAGGGGCACGATGACCCCTAACCGCATCCCTGCCCCTTGGCCCCCAGGACACCCCTCGTGTTTACAGTTCACGGTGAACATGACGGCAGCTGTGCGGACCTACCGCTGGCAGTGCATCGAGTGCAAGTCCTGCAGCCTGTGTGGCACCTCGGAGAACGACGTGAGTGCCCACGCGCCCCCTTCCCCGGGACGTGCCCCCAGGTGGCCTCCTTTCCCTGGAGCCCCCTCCCTGGTGAACACCAGTAACCTGTATTATGATTATTGTTAGTGTCCGTTAATTGAGCCTGCACTTAATACTCTTCACTCTCTGACTCCTTCCAACTGCCCTGAGGTAGGTGATCTCGTTCCCACTTCACAGAGAAGAAACCGAGCTCAGAGAGGGGACTAGACTTGCCCAAGGTAACCCAGCCAGGAAAATGGTACGGCTGGGACCTGAACCCACGTCCATGGCTTCCAGACCATCTCCGTGTCATTTTAAGTGTTCCACAGAGTCCTATAAAACCTAAACTACAAACTGCAAACTGACAGTCCTCAGGGGTGTTACGCTCGTCGCCCAGCAGGGTTTTGCAAAGATGACCTTCTCAGAGCCCTTTGTCTTGCAAGGGACCGCCCCCCCCCAGCCCCTTTGACCTGGCCCCTGCCCCCGCCCCCCACCCCGGTTTCTGGTGCCCGTGCCCCCAGGGTGCCAGCTGGGCGGGTCTCACCTCCCAGGACCAGCTGCTGTTTTGTGACGACTGCGATCGGGGTTACCACATGTACTGCCTGAGTCCCCCCATGGCGGAGCCCCCGGAAGGTGAGAGAAGGGGAGGGCCGGACACGGGGGTGGGGTGTTGGACAGTGGTCATCCTGCTGTCCGCTGGGTGGGAGGGAGTCGGGACAGCCCTGCCCAGACCTGGGCCTAACTCCCTGTCCTCCGGCCGCGCCACAGGGAGCTGGAGTTGTCACCTCTGTCTTCGGCACCTGAAAGAGAAGGCCTCTGCCTACATCACCCTCACCTAGGCCTGGCTCTGGCTCACCTGGACCTCTGGGGTGATGCTTGCCTACCTGCCTCTTGGAGCTCCTCCAGTCTCTCCCCATCCTTAATGCCTCACAGTGGAAGGGGCCGGGGGTGGGGGGAGCCTGAGAGGGGGCTGGGTCACCCCTCCCCTCTGTGCGAGTGGAATGTTTGCCCTGTGGGTTGGTGGGCCCAGCAGGGTCCTCTCCTTTCCTCCCTCCTGCCTCACCCCTTCGCAAATGGGCACCAGGGGCTTCTGCTCCCCTCAAAGCCATACCCCGCCTCTGGGCGGGCACGAGGGGTGGTGGATGCCAGCTGGGGGCACGGACAAAGCCTTTTTCTAAAGAAAAAGTCAAAAAGTTAAAAAAAAAAAGAAATTAATATATAACAAAGAGTCCTATAAGGTCTGGCTGGGTGGAGGGGGCACTGCTGAGCGCATCTACTGGGCACCAGTCTACGCCAGTTTCCTGCCTGGCGGCTCCTCCCCCCCAGTCCCTGGAGTTGCAGCTCTCCTGCCTCCCCACCCAAGGTGGGCACCATTCCCCCCTTGTGCCCAGGGCAGGTGGGTGTGGTGTCCACCCCCCGCCCTCTCTTGGTGCCCACTGTGGATACTGCATGATGTGAACCACGGTTTTGAACTCCATTCCT